TGCCACACCGCTGAACTGCTCTACTCACTAAAGTAACGTCTCGCTTTCAGGGCTAGAGAAGCATGTGTATGTGGAGCTAAAGTGAAGTGAATGTGCTTTTGGAGGAAGACCAGCAGTGCTCTAGTTAACATCTGGACATTATGGACGGCTCCAGACAGCGTGATCCTCTGGAGATACTGTGAAAACCACCCACCTGTTTGTGCTTTTGCTAAACACACAAAAGCCACGCGTCAAACTCACCGTCCACTCAGAACTTTTGAACAAACACAATCCTGCCACTCGACCTGACGAAGAAATGAGGTGGAAACTCAACTGCACAGTCACGGACACATGGACGAAATAGCTAAAACGCTCACGTACAGACTAGAATCACTGATAAATAAAATGATAGACAAGGAAGAATATGGAGAGTTTTCATAATCCTGTAACACACTTACCAAAGTTTCATGTTTGACACTGTATTTTGTATTTATTAAATATCGAATGAGGCATTTTCACCAATGGAAACAGGCTAAAGGTTCATAACTAATTTTTCTCTGTCAGCTGACTTTTCAAAGTTATGCTGCGTCTGGTCTAAATGTGCAGCTAATAATATTTAATTTTCCTGACATCCTAATAAAAATATGAGGCCATTAGCAGACTTTAAGTGCTGCACCACAGATTAATGCGGTTCCTCCGTGGATACACGTTTATTAGCTGGAATGATCAAGGCCGATGTTTTTCGTCAGTGTGTGTTTTACCTCAGGCCTTGTTAGACAGCTCTGCAAAGCAAATGGACTCAGTATAAATGAATGATAAACTGTCTCAACACAAATAATTCCCAACGTCAGCGTTTGCTTCCACCGCACAGACGACGCCCTGTTCTTCTCCTCACGTTTACTTTTTGTACACATTTAAATGTTTTTGACATTTTGTCACAGTGCCTTTTTGTTCTTTGTATATGTTACGGTGCCATCGGACGCCAAATGTAAATACGACCGATGGTTATTGTCTTTCGGTGAAACTGGCCTTTCACAGAATGCGCGAGAGACAACGTTGTACAGTTTATTTGTAGATGATAGGAGAAGAAAACGAGCCCAAGCAAAAGCAGGTCTTAAAAGAAAAACAGCCATGAATATGAGCAGTTAAAAAGATATTTATGATATACTTTGTTATCCTGTAGTCGTCACTGGAATTTCTGTGTTTCTATTTTCATATGTGGATTATCGAGTTGTTTTTGTTCTTCTGCTGTATGTCCCGTGTCGGCTGCAGAGAGAGCGAAAGTTACGAGCTTTTAAAAAAAAATCTCAAACAAACAATTTTCCTTTATGTCCGGAGATGTGACTTGAATCGTGACTGATGTTTCTCATGTTGAAGAGAGAGAAAAAAAAAGGGTCTGATCTCACAACTAATACATTATTAGTGATTTGAATTCTTTTGTGTTTGCCTCGCTTATTTGCATCTATCAATAAACTGTGCATATATTTTCTCACAGTATTATGAAGTGTTTTGATTGTTTCTTTGCATCCATCCATTTTAATGATTGAACTAGGAATATTATATTGGTATTGCCGGCTTTACATAATAATGAACCTCTATTCATAGCTTGGTAAAAATTCATCTCAACGTACTCTAGTTGTACAAACTGTGTTGTGTCTTTATGAGATATTTAAATGTGGAAAGGAAATGTGATGATAATAAAAAACAAGACAAATCATAAGGAAAAGAAACTAAATCTGTTAAAATGCAGGCATTAAAACACTTTCTTTTAAAATAGGTTCTAAGCTAAAAAAAAAAACAGGTTAAGTGCTGAATAGTCTTATCTTCTCAGGTAATCGCTGGTCTTCCTTAGTTACCAGCCTTAGTTACCAGCCTTGACTCAGGAACAGCTGGCAAAGTTTTGGTTGGAAGATCTTAGATTAGGATTTAGGGAGTTAGTGGCTCCGTAATGTAACTGAGGGTCGGACTGTGCTGAGCTTTGAAAGTTATGAAAAGAATCTTAAAGTCAATCCTAAATGTTACCAGCAGCCAATGATGGGAGAGACAAGGGCATGCTGGGAGTTCAGGCCTTGGAGGCTTGTGACAGAGGAAGTGTAAAAGGTTTTTATTTTGATTAATGTGGAGAACTGACTGCAAACATAAGTCAGGGCACCTTTGTTATGTTTCCTGTGTTACTGTTATTTTCCGGATTAGAATTCCTCTGGCTCTAAAGCACATTATGCAGGACGGTGGCACCCAGTGTGAGGGCAGCAGGAAAAATGTAACCCTGTAACAATGAGTGACATCTGTGAATGTCTGAATCTGAATACAGTCCTTTATCCAAACCTCACTGAATGCAAGTAATTTAGAAGACTTTAATGTGACATGGAACTAAACACTGCTTATGTTAACAGGCATAAACTAATGGCCGGAGAAATCTATGAAACTTCAATCAGCAGGAGAAGCATCTGCTGGAGGGG